CGGCGAGTGGCGAAGACACGGCAGATGCCGAGGACGCGCGCGAAGAAGCCGCTGGAGGAGCGAGCGCGAGCGATGCGCGTGGCGGGCGTGCACGCGATGGAACAGGCAGCGCGACCTTAGTCCTCGAGGACTAAGGCAAGGCGCGCGAGATGGTGCCCCGAGGCGGCGAGATGAAGGCTAGGGTTTTTCGACTTAGAGTGCAAGACAAGATTATTCAAGATTCTCCACATATTTAGTTTCCCTCTTTGAATAAGATTTCTAGATTTTTTAGGATACTTAATATTTTATTGCTTTATTAGAGTTATAGCTAGATTAGGAATAAATCTATTTAATGCCTATATAAAAAGGCCCTTCCTCTTGTTATTTTGGATCATTCAGAAATTAATACAAAAACTCGAACATTTGTTCAAATACTTTGCCTTAGATTTCATCTTGATTTCTTTTGCAATTTTATTCGTTTCAAAGGGGTGCGGTTGTGTGAACCTCCGAGACACCTATCGTCGGTTCAAGGCACGAGTGTGTGGCTTATCGGCAATCGGGACACGCGATCTTCATCAGCGCGGCCCTGCATGCCTAGCGCCCTATATGGAAGGTTAGGGCGACCCCAGCCCTATTTAAACTCTTCTTTCCCCTCCCCAAGACTTCCAAACACTCCCCCACTCCTCCAAAACAGCCGCCACCTCCTCCCCTCTCAAAATTCCGATCGGCGCCCCTCCACCGCACGCCACCGCACCCGCGTACCCCCGGCGACCCGCGAAGCACCCCAACGCACACGACGGCAAAATCCCTCGGACCTCCATCCCCTGTTCAACCCGTTCACAACCAGAAAGGAGCCATCCCTCGCTATCCAAGGCAAATCCGACCCCCGGCGAGCCGAGCCCGCCGCCTCTGCACGTGCGTCCAAGCCTCCGAACCCTTTCCCTTGTACTTTTTAAGTGCAAGGACCCCGAGAATGGTACTCGATGGTTGTACCCTCTCCTAATTTTCGAATTTATGATGTTATGGTGCTGGTCCCCCTTGATTTTGCGAGATTGATGATTTATGTGGAAAAAATCATTAAAAATATGCATGTTTGAATGAGTTTCGTTGAGTCCTTGTTGAATCCGTGTTTAAATCATGAAAGGCTGTGGAAAATGGAACCTAGGAACGTCCTTAAACTTTTGAAAAAGGTTTTGGACCCTTTGTCATGTATATGTTGAGTTTCGAATTTTTAGATTCAATCTATATCTGAAATTTTGTAAAATTGAGATCTAATTCAATTCTCGGGATTTTGATCTGAAATTTTGAGGGATGAACCCTGTGTGATTGTTATGTCTTGTATAAAATTTTCAAGTGAAAACTTGAATTATAACCTATCGAACTTGTGATTTCAAATTCTGGTAAGATCCTTGTTAAATTCATATAAAGTCGAGTTTTGATTATTTTGATTTGATCTTCTGGGAAACTTGATGTTTTGGTTTAACCTCTGTTGTGTCCAAATTTCAAATAAAAACTCTATCATTTCCCTAGAGAACTTGAAAACCCTAGTTTATATTGTTATTTTGCAAAAATGGGTTAACTAAGTTAATTAAACTTTTAAGGGTTGATCTCTAGTGATAGTATGTCTTTATAAGTATATTTCAACGTGGTAAAATTTCATAAGTTTTGGTGGAGTCGATTTTAAAAAGGTTCGGGTGTTATTAAATTCTTTATCTCTGTCCCGGGGTCTGTGACCCGTGTTTGTACCCTGTCTGCGTGCCCCGAGTGCCCTGCAGCAGCCCGTGCGGGTCCACATCTCCACAGTCAGCGACCTGCGTCGCACAGGACCCCGTGGTGGCCCTCAGACCGCGCCCAGCGTGCCCAGACTGTTGATGAAGAATCGTGTGTTCCCGACCGTGACCTTGCCTCGGACGTTGCGTGTGCTCGGCCTTCAGCGAGGGTGCGGACGACTCGGAGGTTAATCTCCTTATCTTCTCGCGATAGGTGAGACAGCTCGGATAGATGTCCTTGCCAAACTCGTCTTGCTCGAGCTATGCGGTGGGACGCCCTTCTCGTAACAAGGGTTTTGCACTAAATCTCAAAAGAAATCTAACACAAGAAATTGAACACAAGGTTCGACTTTTTCATTAATTCAAGACATGATACTTTCGAATGACAATGGGCATATTTATAGATGCCAAACTAAGTCTAATCCTAGTCTAAGAAGAACTCCTAATGCATGGAAATAAATAAAGTCCTAAGGAAACTAAATATCTAATGAATAAAGACTTACCAAACTGCTAAGATACTATTAGGCACATGCCTTTTATTCCAAATCCTAACCATTCTAATATTCCTAATTATGCTAAGAGAATCGGCCCTTTGGCCATCTAGAAGCTTCACGCGTCTTGCGCCTTGCCCAAACCCTAGCCGCGACGGCTAGTCCTTGTCCTGCGAGGTCATGGACTCCATCGCGCCCCACGCGTCCCATGCATTTTCTGCCTTGCGCCCCAAGTCGTGCGGTTCATCCCTAGGCGGCGCGGTACTCCTAGTCCTTCGAGGACTCATGCTCGCCAGTCCTTGCACGTCACGCCTCATGCTCCCGCCAGCTGTCCTTCGCGCGTTGCCGCACCCGCCCGCGTGCCTGTACGCGTTGCGCGCAGATGCGACCTCTTCGCAAGCGCACCCCTCGCGCGCGTCTTCTCGCGTGCCATTGGTCGTCACGCGCGTAGCCCGCACGTTGGTCCCCACTTCTCGTTCTTGGCCGGTCACGGTGCGTGCTAACCACCCAACATCCTCCCCTCGCGCACCACCCGGTTCCTCCGCCACGTACACGCCATCCTCATGCCCGCGCTTTCGCCCCTTGTGAGCCTCCAGCCGCGAACCTCCTATCGCACCATCGTCGCGACCCTTTCTCGCGCGTCCCGTCCCAACGCACCGGGTTACGCATGTTTCTCTTTCGCGCAGCCTTCGCAAGCCTCCTTTGCATGGCCCCGGCGGTCGTCCCGACCCTTTTCGCGCCACTTCTCGTGACCCGAGCGCGTCTTATCCTCGGGCTTGGGTGGGTCGATGACCACATCCTCATCATTCCTTCCCCCTTTAAGTTTATCCTTGTCCTCAAGGATAATGAATTGAAGACTCCTTAACTTGACCGGCTCGGATCCCTCGTCAATTGTGCACAACTTGATCCGCTTATTGTCTCGTTCAAACTCCATCGTGCCATTTTTGAAATTTGTTGTTATGGACCCTAATGTCTCCAGACATTGGGCCCCAAGCACCACCTCGGGCCCTTCTAACTCTAACGCATACAAATCTACCCTTAGCTCTTCGCCTTGTACACGTATTGGTACCTTTTTGTACAACTCCTAACTCCAAAGCTCCTCGCCATTCGCGACCTTAACCCCAAACGGTATAATTCCCGTCATAGGCACCTCAAGCTTTGCGGTGAAGTCCAGGTTGATGAAATTAAGTGTTGACCCACTGTCGACCAACACATTAATTCTTCGACCCAAAATCTCGGCCTCAAACCTTAGCATCTTAGGCCCCTTCTTCGCTTTGACCATATGCATCATCTCCAGTCGGGGATTTAAATATAAGTTCCTCCCTTCGCCGTGCTTTTCCTCGGGTTCGGGCTCGTCCGTCGTGGTCTCGTCATCCTCGGAATCGATCACTTGGATTAAGTAGACCTGTTTGCAACGATGGCCCGGAGTAAACTTCTCCTCGCACCTATAGCAGACACCTTTCTCTCGCCTTCTTTGTATCTCCTCATAGGTTAAGTTCTTCACCTCTGGTGGTTGCGGATTGAAATTGCTAGGTGCTCCACGGCTTGCGTCTCGGGTGAGGTTGGTCTCGCTATGCATTGCCCGCTGCGGCTCTGTAATGCCCCGTTGAAATATGGAATTTTGAGAATTATTTATTATTATTATTATTATTATTATTATTATTATTATTATTATTATTATTATTATTATTATTATCATTATTATTATTATATTATTATTATTATTTATTTGTTGTTCTTATTATTTGTTTGAATGCCAAATTATTAAATGTCTAATATGATTTATTTGTCAAATTGCTTAATTGTCTAAATATTAATTAATTTCCTAATTGTCTGAGTGTTACAAATTAATTAAAATGTGTATTTGTATTTTTACTAATATTATTATTATTTAAAAAAAAATTAAATGGTGTGTATTAAAAATATATATATTATATATCCAGTTTATTTAATTTTTCGCCACGTCGAACCGAGCCTCGTATAATTTCGAGTCGAGCCCTAGAGAACCGACCGATTTTGATTATTTTTCGTAGCCATTGCGAGATTAATTTGGCCCAATCCAAATTATCTTGAATTATCCCATTTGGATTAATTTTTAGCCATTTAAATCAAAGCCTTTGGCCCATGTATTATTATTAGCTTGGCCCAAGAGGTTGTATCACGTGAGTTTTCTCTTTCCCAACGACCGAGCCCCGTTCGATTATTACATTGTTCGGATATTTTCTATTGGCATAAATATTATTATTTTGAATTTAATTGTCAAAGCGATATTATTGTGTGGAATATAAGTATATTATTGTGTTATCATTATATATATATCCGGTTGGATTTATTTTGTTCCCTCGTACCGTTGAATATTTGTTTATCCATAGTATTGTGTTGAGCTATTTTCGATCTTTTCTCGAACTTTTACTCGGACCCTTTTTGGCTAATTGGTTCGGCCATTGAGCCATTTTTTTTTTTTCGGCCCATGTTGAGATAATAGTGCTAGCCGAATCGATTTATTTACAATCTTTATGTCAATTTAATCCGCAGCCCAATGTGACTACATCTTTTTGGCCCATTTATGAGTATTATACTTTGGCCCAAATAGAATAGCATCCGCTGCCCCTCTAATATCCCATGTGTAAGACTCGGTCGTCTTCTTCCATCGGCGTTCAAAAATCTGTTGCGATATTGCCGTGTGATCCTTCGCACGATCAACCCAATCTCTCTCGTGTCTGTTATAACTCGGCCAGATGAGGTCAGTTCTCGTACCCCTCTGTTCTCCATCTCAGAATCAAAAAGCAAATATCCCAACTTCTATCTTTTACTCTCGGCCATCAAGCATTTTATTCCGGTAACTACGAGCAGCCATCGGCCGCCCTGTCAGTACCCCTGGCCGCCGGCCATTATAGATCCTGTTCCCGAGCAGCAAACTGAGCCAGACGGACCCCGTCAGCCATCGTTATCTCGAGTCGAGCCATCAGCCCGAGCCGTCGATCTGCTCGCCATTAGTCGTCGATTCCCGAACCTCGGTCCACGTCCGATTTTCCCCGACGTGACACGAAGCACGAATTCAAAGCCATCGCCGGGAACGTCAAGAACACCAGTGATCTTACGCCACGATTGACCAGCCGAGACTCATAGATGATCATTCACTCAGCCACGAACGCAGCCACAGACAGCAAACCCACGCAGCCCCGCCGCGAAACTCGCCGTTAGCGAGCCCTTCCCGTCGGGTTATCACAGCAGCCTCCGTCCGCCACATCGCACGCCCAGGACCGCCGTGAGCAAGCCGCAGACGTCCGCTACAACCGCCGCGAGCGCGAGCTCCTCCCATCGCCGCCCCTGTTGACGGAATCCGAGGGCAGCACCCCAGCCGCCTTCCAGCAAAAATCCGTCACTAGTCAGTCGCTGAGGTCTCGAGCGGCCGCCACCTTGGGAATCGAATCGCCGAGCGCTGCCAAATTTCGAGGTCCAGACGCCACTCGACCACCGGCCAGATTTGTAGAGAAATTGGTGAGCGAGGAAGAAGCGAAATTGATGGCGGTAATTAAAATTTCTGGTGTTGGTGCGAATGGATTGAACATGGGAGAGAATTTGGGAGAAGAAATTGAATGAGAAAGAGGGATCTGATAGAAGAGAAGAAAGAAAAACGACGGGAAGAGGAAAGGAAAAAATGAAGAGAGAGAAAAAGAAAAATAGGAAAAAGAAAGTGGGCTTGGTAAATTTTTGGGCCAAGGTTGGGTTGTTACTTAAGAAGAGAAATAAAATATGGACTAAGTGAAAACGGGTATTGCTAGGAAGCAATGAGGTGCCGCTCAATCCTCAAGATTTCGTCCAGCCCTAGCCCTGTTTTCTCGTCTTCCCGTTGGAGTACGATAATGGGTGGCTTATCTTGGACTTATTTTTTTTATGTGTATATGTATATATGTGCTGCATTATTGATATGAGTATGAAATGCCTTAATTTTATTTGTCTTATGTAACGATCTCTTCGATTTTGTGAAATCGAATGAGACCTCGTTAAATCCGTGTTAAGTACTATGGAATTGGAACACTAATGAGTCCTTGGCCTGACGGTGAAGGCCTCGGACAATTTCGGTGCTTGTCGAGTCGTATATGAATTTATGAACTCGTATAGTTGCTGATTATGTATTAAATTCGTGATAAGTTGTATATTGCTCGAATTTTGTAAATTAGCACACTTTTAGTTTGGGGCTGAAAATTGTGGTTTTGTTTAACTCTGGGAGCTGAAATTTTGGTTAAAATTTTAGAGTTAAATTCGTATGATAACCTGACTAACCTATTTTTGTGATTAAAAACTAGTATTTTCAAATATATAGTTTTTATATTAAAAACTGTAAATTGACTCGCCTTCCATTCTTTTAAGTGTTTGACTTGGTCAATCTTTGTCTTGGATTATGTGAACTTCCATGTGTATTTGGTTGAGTCTTAGTGTCGAGTCTAAGTGTTCCAACATCCACAGGACTTCACGAACAACTTAGTCGAATCAAGTTCGGCTAAGAGTAATTGTGATTTCCGTTCAAGTCATAATAGATGTTGATTATAGCATCTGGACTTAATGTAGGTGTTTGAGGAGTCGAGCCCCCGACCTACCGACCTGTTTGTGTGACTTCTCTGTCGATTTACCAGGTGGGTTTTATTTGAAAAGTTTCTATGCATTAATTAATTGTTATTGTTGTGGTATGATCAAAGTATGCATGTGAACCATGTAGCCTTCCATGTGAGCTATATTGGCCGTCGAACGGTTATCCCCGTAGCTATAGAACGTACCCGATGGGGTGTCTCCTTTATTATGTATGGCAGTCAGGGCGTGAGCCTTGGCTGGTGATCCTCGATGTAAGTCCGATGGGATGTTTCCGGACATTCGAGGTGGATTTACTCCCACTGTCTGGGCATCGAATGTAAGGCCCGCAGGGGTTTTCGATACGTGTATCAGCAGTGGTCTATTGGTATAGGTGTGCACATGAGAGTTGACTCTGGAAGGAGATGGGATATTAATTGATTTGTGTTCATACTGCGACCATACCTGCTTTATTTTATGAAATTTAATATTAATTATTGCATAGTGGTGAGCACCTCGATTTCCTATTGTGCTCATCCCCACCTGCTCTTCAATGAATGCAGGTTAGTAATTGCGGGCACGACAGAGGGAGGCGAGTGGTGGTCATGTTATCGTTTATTTCCGCTGCATTAAATTGCTTATTATGATTTATGCATTCCTGACTTATGTTGAGTACTGGAGTATCGATAGGGAGTGTATTCCCTAGCATTTATGGATTTGGTGAACCCGTTTTTGGGTGTTGATGTCACGAACCCGGTTTGGGTGTTGACTATTCATGAATTTTGGACTCGTTGGGAATAGCATATGTGAGATTGTTGGAATTGTTTTTGGAAAATGAGTAGCGCATCAAGTGTTTTGAAATAAATTTTGAAAAATTTATTCTGAATTTCGGCAAATAAAAGTGGGGCGTTACAGTTTGGTATCAGAGCCAGTCTGCGTTTCTGTAGACTGGTTTCGTGAATTATGTGATTACATGCTTTAACCTCATATTATGACCACTCGCTCTCGTCGTGCCGCGCCAGCTCAGGTATGAGTACCTGAATGATTTAAGATTAACGTTCATTGATTGGTTATTGATTACTGAAATGAAACTGGGGCTAAGGAATTTATCCTCCTACTTTTAAATGTTCTGGAACTCTAGATGAGTGGCGAACCTTAATTGTATGAACTTGAACTCTAGCGATATAGAGTTAAGTTCTAACTAGAGGTTTTGTTTATTTAGAAATTCGACATGGTGTTATCGAGCTGAGTCCTACGTATAACAGTCCTCTCGATGTATTTTGGTGTCTTCGGATGAGGACCATTTGCGATCCATCTCGAAAGGAGAAGGCTTAAACTAAGGGAGCAGATAACCGAAGAAGTCCTAAGTGTGGGATATTCGGAGGTCTGTAACCATGGTTGTTAAGACCATTAAATGTGTATTTGACCTCCAGTCGAGTGCGAGCTGGAGTAGAGTCTGGGTGCCTTGTGCATACTTGATGTCCGACCCCGAGGAGTATTGGGGAAATTTAATGCGTAACACTGTCGCGACTCTCGAGAGTGGCTCGGCCTCGAGAAAGACGATAGTGACCCATTCTTTTGCAAAATTCTCTCAGCGAATTCTTATGGCGGATAGACCGTACCGACACCGCGTGAATAGTTTATGCCACAATTTCGAGTGACATTTCTGTCTTGAAGGAGATGTAAAAAATTCTCTTCCGTATTTTGAGCCGCGAGCGATTTCCAGTGACAGTAGGACTTACCAGGCGCTGGAACCGATGATGAAAACAGTGAATCGTGGACTCGTGAAGGCGAAACAATCGTGCTTCCTTTCTTAAATTCTTGTCTTCTTGTATACTCTTGCAAACCTTTTCCCCATTCACATGGTAAACAATTTTGAAATGTGATGGAGACTTCTTTTTGTTATCCAAATATCGTATTTTGAGGATTTTGCTTGATCTTCCCCTACTTTTGATTCGCTGTGTAAACTATTTTAAACTTCCCAACTTTAATACTCGCTTCTCTTGAAGTTTAGCTAATTCTGATTTATCTTATGTTGGGAATTGACTTTGTTTCGAAAAACCTGATTTCAAGTGAGATTAAGCATCTCTTTGTTTCTGCTTATCTTTATTCTTTTGCGAAGTATGAGAGTTTCGTTCGAATGTCATCGCTAAACTATCACGAAGACTCGAGGGCAAAATTTTTCTATCGCCATTTTTATAACCTAACCTCGAGGGGGACAATAATCGTTCACGCTCGGCATCGAGATAAACGCACAAGAGCAGAAGCCAACACAATTCGGTTCGATGAGAAAGATGGAGTGCTTTTTTTCACCTTGAAAGATTATGCAGAAATCTTTTAAGGAGGATAGTCGAGTCTAGAGCAAGCACGTCGTGTAGCGCTGGACCGTCATTATTCTAAATTTTGTTCATCGTGAAAATTTTTGTTCTTTTCCTCCTTTCGGACTCCCGGGAGGAACTTCGCGTTCAAATTCCACAGTGTGAAGATTGGGAAGTGAGTTGCGCTCGTTTAGGACTGCTCACGATTAGCTACCCGAGGAAAAGCTGACGTGTCGGCCGACGCTGTTAGTCGGAAGAGCCGAGGCGAGCTATCTATTTAATGGCTCAGCAGAAGCTGCTGGCTTAGAGAGAATCGCCATGAGAGTTCTTTTGAGATTTCGCATATGGATATATCTGTGGCGTATTATGTTTTGTTGTTTTAGAAAGTTGGTGGACTTGGAACTCGAACTTGCACCTTGCTATTTTTTTGAGACATTTTTTTAGAAACTTTGAAATTTGTGAAACGCCTGATACATAAATTGTTTGTTGATCCAAAATTTTTTGAAATTTGGTATAACCATTCCTTTTTGGTAGCCTTGAATTGTAACTCCTTGTGAAAACCTGGACCACATGCTGACCCTGACTGGGTGTAGCCACGCGATGGTGGCCGAGCACGCACGAACGTGCTGAGAGACGGGAGGCTTGCGCGCAGCCGACCGTTGACTCGCATGCGAACTGCAGCCGCCATCACCGAACGCACAAACTTCCAAGGTCGCGGTGCGTGCTAACCACCCAACATCCTCCCCTCGCGCACCACACGGTTCCTCCGCCGCGTACACGCCATCCTCATGCCCGCGCTTTCGCCCCTTGTGAGCCTCCTGCCGCGAACCTCCTATCGCACCATCGTCGCGACCCTTTCTCGCGCGTCCCGTCCCAACGCACCGGGTTACGCGACTCCCGCGTGCAGCGCGTCTACGCCCCGCATGTTTCTCTTTCGCGCAGCCTTCGCGAGCCTCCTTTGCATGGCCCCGGCGGTCGTCCCGACCCTTTTCGCGCCACTTCTCGTGACTCGAGCGCGTCTTATCCTCGGGCTTGGGTGGGTCGATGACCACATCCTCATCATTCCTTCCCCCTTTAAGTTTATCCTTGTCCTCAAGGATAATGAATTGAAGACTCCTTAACTTGACCGGCTCGGATCCATCGTCAATTGTGCACAACTTAATCCGCTTCTTGTCTCGTTCAAACTCCATCGTGCCATTTTTGAAATTTGTTGTTATAGACCCTAATGTCTGCAGCCATTGGGCCCCAAGCACCACCTCGGGCCCTTCTAACTCTAACGCATTTACACGTATTGGCACCTTTTTGTACAACTCCGAACTCCAAAGCTCCTCGCCATTCGCGACCTTAACCCCAAACGGTATAATTCCCGTCATAGGCACCTCAAGCTTTGCGGTGAAGTCCAGGTTGATGAAATTAAGTGTTGACCGACTGTCGACCAACACATTAATTCTTCGACCCAAAATCTCGGCCTCAAACCTTAGCATCTTAGGCCCCTTCTTCGCCTTGACCATATGCATCATCTCTAGTCGGGGATTTAAATATAAGTTCCTCCCTTCACCGTGCTTTTCCTCGGGTTCGGGCTCGTCCGTCGTGGTCTCGTCATCCTCGGAATCGATCACTTGGATTAAGTAGACCTGTTTGCAACGATGGCCCGGAGTAAACTTCTCCTCGCACCTATAGCAGAGACCTTTCTCTCGCCTTCTTTGTATCTCCTCA